ATGTTAGTGTTCGTATTATTGATGATTATTAAATTTAGATGACGGCTATATCATCAACTCATCTCACAATTCGAAGAAATCTTGGTTCGAATAGATGTTCTTTGAAAGCCTTGTTAGTAGGGGTAGCTCAAGATATTCCAGAGGAAATCGATACTGAAAGTGCAATATTTAAGTTGTCAGTTAATGATTATGCTGGCAAGAATTACAGTTTCATTATTAAGGTTGTATTTTCTCGTAATAGTAGTTGATTTAAATATTTAATGAGTTCTCTTTGTCCAAATGAATTGATACTTTTTGTTGTTGGGCACATGAAAGTTATACAGGAGAATCTTTACGTATATGCTGCTGATGTTTCTTTTGTTGTGGTTAATTCCGCAGTCAAAAGAAAAGTTTCCAGCTTAGATAGTTCCCAAACTATATCTGAGGTGTATAGGTTCATTCGATTGAAGCTCTTAACTGCTCATCAGAATTCTAACAGAAAGTTATCCTAGGTATTTTTAGCTGAAGCAGATAAACATTTAGCGGATCCAGTTATTAATTGTCCTAGTTCAAGATATACGAGAGTTGAAGATGCAGATGATGAAAATGATTATAGTAGTTGTAGTCAGACAGTTGAACATAATAAGAAATACAGAGACAGTAATAGCGAGTTTGAAAAGAGCATTACAGGAGAAAATAAAGAAAAGGGAAAAGAAAAGATGACACAACCTGTAGTGCATAATTTGAGACGTTGGGTTTAATATTTAATAATGTGAATAGGAAGAAACAGTTTCATTATATGGTTTATTGTTTTTTTTTTTATGATATGTTCTATGCAAATATATAATAAGTATGTTTCGATATTTTTTGCATATAATGGTGTAAATGTTATTAGTTCATGTGGGTTGTAGATTTGTTGCATGTTAAATGTTTGATAACGATGTGTTGACATCATTTATAATAAAATTGAAGTGTTAGGTGTATCAATGGTAATTTGCTTTTTCGACTTTATTATATTATTCAATTCAGTAATTACAAAGTATGTAGTATAGAAATTTGATAAGACTATCAATTTGTTTTGAGTAGTACATGTTGAACAGTTAAATAGTCAGGATTAATTGGAGGGTAATTGAATTAATAATTACAGTATTAGTAGCAGTATTACTGGTACTGAGATTTGTAATTAGTAAAGATTGAAGATAAGTCGATTATTGTACAATAGAAAAAATAGAGTTTCATAGTCTCATATATTGCTATTTCTATTTTTTTTTTTTAAATTTATGTGATTATAAAATGTTATTTAACTGGTTTTTACAGTGTGTCATGTATAACGTTACATAATTTTTTTAAAGGTTCTAAATTTAGCAGTATTTTTAGACGATGCAATTTTATGCAAGATGGAATGTTGTTGTTTGAATGGAGTATTATTTTACAAGTTTAAAGATTATTTTTGCTGATTTGTTCATATGGGTTCCAAGTATTATGATAGATCTACATAATTGTGGTATAAAGTTTCTGTAATCTCTGGGTATTTTTCAAAATGTTCAAGTTCTTTTTTAAGATCTGGATTGATCATTATGTTAAGTTTAGTTTGGTCAAAAGATCGAAGTAACATAATATCTTCTAATTTTTGTACTCGAGATAACATTACATAAGTACTAGCTCCTGTTTTTCCACCATTTAAATCGATAATTGCTTTTTTTAGTGTAGTACCTTGACATTTGAACTCCGTAATCGCGAAGACCAGAGTTATAGGTAACTGAGTTCTTTGAAAATCTTAGGTTATATCCGTTCTATTTTTTATCCTATACGTATATTTATATTTTTGTTTAATCGGATACTCTGGTACATTATTCGGAGGAAGGTTATCATATGAGCCTGGTTTGTGATTCAAGAGTTCTATTATTACATATTTTGGAGATTTGTTAAAGGTAATAGTTTTTTCTCTATAAACGTTTGTACTTTCCTCTGCTGATGATTCAACATTATATACAATCTTGCGAACTATACCTTAGACACCATTTACTATACCGTCATTGGTACAAATATTGATCATTAGTGCCATCTTCATACCTATTGAAAGCAGTAATATACCGCACAGAGGATTTGATTTGGCATCCAATACACTTAGAAATCTTTGCTTTATATTGCCATAAACTAGTTTGTTCTTATACGTATCTTCAGTATATATATAATAAACTGGCTGATTATGGTATCTGGCATGTTCTATAGTGGCTTCAAAATTGATTTGAATGTGTAAATCATTTCTCCGGCCCAAAAACACAATGTCTCTTCATTCCGGTAAATTTACTCTATCTTCTGTCATTACACAATTATGAAGAGTTTCATATTGCACCAGTGTTAGATAACCACGACGCAAATTATTTAACATAAATGCATATATCAGGTTATCAATCTGACACATTTGTTTTTTTAAAATAATCACATACTTTACCGATTTCCATAGTTCTCTGCCATTGATGTTAACTAGCATTCGAGTATTATTTCGATTCATATTTTGTATCTGATTTTTCTGTGAATTTATGTTCGCTTCTACTTTATTAGACTAGTATAAGGGTTGATCAAGTACTGGTGGGAGTTGTAGGAAGTCTCTAACAAAAATTATATTCATGTTTGCAAAAGGTATAGTGTCATCTTGAAAATTTTTTGCTTCTTTAATGCATGTATGCAGTCGCGTTATAGATTTTTGTCCCATCATTGAAACTTCGTCTATGATAAGATACTCTATATTCGTCCAACATTCCTGAAGCATTTTTATGATATTTCTTGAGAGAATTTATATTTATAATCATTAGCATCATCATCAAACCCAAATCTACACAGAGAATGAAGAGTACAACTACCGATATTTGAAGCGGCAACACCAGTCAGTGCACAAATAGCAAGAGAATGATTTTGATCTATTAGATCGAAGTATTCTTTAATAGCCTCGATAACTTTTGATTTTCCTGTGCCTCTGGCACCACCTAAATACATTAATAATTGAAGTAGTTTATTAGGATTACCAGGGTAGGTTTGTTCTCGGTGATTGCAGACAAGTATGAAAGCCTTTTTTTGTTCATTATTCAGATTAGCTAAAATTTTTTGAATTTCGGATTGCAGAATAGTTAGGTTTTTTTTATTAAACTTATAAGTACAAGGTTTTGTGTAATAGTTTTTTTCAGAACTTATATTTGTATCTATTTGTTCTATTTTTTTTCTTGACACTATTGTTTTTTGCTATGTCATAATTAAGTTACTATCATTTTTACAAGAAGGTCATATATGTTCCTCATCATTATAATTCATAGTATCAAATTTTCTTTGAAAGTTCAGTTGTCCTTCTTTTTTATTATTAAACTTGTCTTTTAAATATAAATGAAGCATGGCGTCATCAACAAATTTCATATTATGTAGTCAGAACGCACAATTTCATATAGATTTAACAAAACTAAGTTATCAGTACCAAAATTATCTTGGTTATCCAGTATTTCTGTATCACCAGTATTGTCATAACCCAGCACAGATCTTTCTATTTGTTAGATTTTGGCAATTTCCGAGTTTTTGTAGGCTATTTGATATAATTGACGATCTAAAATAGTTTCTTCCATGTTTCGATGTAATAGTTCAATGTTATCAATTACAAATCGTAACCGTGTGGATAAGTCTGGGCTTCGTAAGAAAGAGTCACAGGCTTCACGCCACGAGTTGTATATAGTTATCAGATCACTTACAGCAGTCCATGGTTTAAACAACAGAAGGATACAGAGTCCGTATCTTTCTGTATTTTTTAAATTATTTTTACATAGTATACTTTTTCTACACAATACAGGTATTCTTTCATTTTCATGAGTTCAATAGACTTTTATATGTGTTGCATGTTGTGAATGTATCATACTGATCACAAGTTTCATCGCACTTTTTTTCTCTACCTAAATATAAGAATTGATCTACTCTAGTTGTATGTCCTTTGCAATTTTTTTGTCTATTTAGCTTGTCCAATTCATTACCATTAATTTTTATTTTATGAATTGTTGCTATATAGTCATATAGACATTATTTTTTAATTGCTCACCACAATACATATAGTCTACTCGTAAATTTACTGCATTTATTTGTTTACCTGAGTTTACCATTATAAATATTTCATTATTAGCAATATCATCTTCACTATCACTTTCTTGGTTTAGTTCAGTTTCACTGCTATCAGTGCTTGAATTTTCTACAGTGATTGTTTTGGTTAAGTTTTCAACAGGATACCATAATGTTAGATATTTTTCAAAAGTACTTATATATGCCAAAACAAATCTATTAGGTGCATAATGATCTTTAAAACCTAATAGATATGCTGATACTTAAGAACCAGTCATTTCTGTTTGTTCTACAATTTTGTTAAAACACTTCATAACAAGCTTCTGTGATCTTGAAATAAATTTATTGGATAGTTTATCTGAATTCAATGTTTCAGTAATGAACTTATTTAAAGTTATAGTACACATAAGAAATGAATTGTGCATATTTGTATCAGTTTTTGTTATATAATCCATGATATAGTAAATATACACAAGTGCTAGCTTGACAGTCGCAACAAATCTGATATCATTATTCCCATAGCAGCAAGCTATTATATAAGGATTATGATTATTAATATAAGCATTGCAACATTGAAGCACAACAATCCCAAGTTCGGGATAAACTTTTTTGTATATATCACTAATTCACAGGGAAAATCAAAATGACAATTAGATACCCTGCCCCAGTAATATTTTTTACATGATTTAGTATATCTATAATACAGCATGCATTTTGCAATTCTAAGAATATCAAGACAGAATTGTTCATCAAAGTCTGGAGATCATGGATCCAGAATCGGCAAGAATGATGGGTGCATTCTTTTTTCTAAACTAGTTTTTGGGGTTTTGTATTCCTTATTCAGCATTTTATCTGATAAATACTCATCATTTGGAAGAAGATAACTAATATCTTCTTTGATAATATCATTTAAATAAGCCATCAATCATTCCCTAAGGTCCTCAAATCCAAGATGATCTCACAGTTCAATAGGATTAAGAGCACCTTGAAGCCATATCAACATATGACAGTGAGGTGTATCACAATCTTGGTATTCTACAACTGCATAATAATTTTTTATTTCACCTAATACACCACTATCTAGTTTTTGTAAGCAAGAATAAATTTGATTATATTCTCTATTACAACATTAAAATACTTTGCTATAGCAGTTGGATCAAGGTGAGCTAGCTTAGCTCTTTCTGTCACAGTTGGAAAGTTTTCTAGAAGTAAAGTATTGATATCAATTTCTTTTCCCGCATACATCATTACGATTGAACTATGAAGATCTGCAGGATTGATGGTTACAAACAACAAAGGCGAGCCATCTTGTATTATTACAGCACGAATTTCATTGCATAGAAATCCCCATGATTGATATGAACTCATAATTTTTCCACCAACAATATTTACATTTTTTAATAATTCTAGCACCATCTTATTTGTTATCGATTGTTTATTTTTTTCTTGTTCAATTGCAATTTCCATATCATTCAGTGTAAGTTTTGAGATTAGTTTAACTAATTGTTCAAAATTTGCTCGTTTTGCCATTAAATATGCTCCTGATGAAATTTCTCTTCGTAATATAT